GGTCGATAAGGCAAAGAGCAGATATCGAGGAAGCAAAGGAGGAAAAGGCAGGTATAGATTAGAACATAACCGCGGGAAAATTGTACAATTGGCCGTTGACCGAAGAACAAGGATTAGGTGAGGGCATATCCACCGAAAAGTAGCAGAAAAGAGCGAAACTGGCTCAACATAACGAGCCGTGAGGGCCGAAAAGGAGCAGAACCAACGAGCAGATTGGACTTTTGAAGCAGATGCTTGCCGAAAAAAAGGAGCAGAAAAAATGAAAGGAGCAGAATGGGGCCTACTGCTGCTGCTGCATGCTCTCATCATTTACAAAAAATTGCTTGTTGCGTGTTGATGTATGCATGCATGTATAGTAGGTGTGTACAGATTGAACCAAGAGGGATGTACCTCATTCTCTCTGGCCCGTGATGCTGACTCACTCCTAGTCTCAATTGTTACCTCACATAGCGCGCAGAGGGAGCGGTGGACTCCAGAACATCTCTCGTTGATTTCTATTGACTTGTGGACCCCTCGGGGCCAGTTTATTTGCTTGTACCTCTTTGGGGTAAGTTAGCTTGTGACCACGGGAATCGACCGCGTCAAGTTTTGGATCAGTACGGGCATATGCAGGTACTGGGTAGAGAGAGATCGGAACGGTTTTTAATGTGAAGACAACAACAACAATATGTGCTGCTGCTCAAAAAAGAGTAGAGAGAGGTATGTGTGTGTATGTATGTCTCATAGCCGCTGTTGATGTCTGTTGTGTGTAGGTAGTTTATTAATGTGGTGGTTCGAAAGGAACAAACCGTCAGCTGCGGTGGTCTGTCTGTCAGGCGCCAGTTGGCGGTCTGTCGAGTCAAAGCCGCTGCTCTCTGTTGGCCTGGGAATTTCAACCTGATTCCTTCGTGGTTTCCAGACAAAATAAATGCAGACCTTCCATGACGAACTTACAACAGTAGCGGCTACGGTTTAAGAGAGGGTCGGTACAAGCCAATTTCACTCTCTTAAATCCGGCTTTCTGTTATATCGTGTTGGCTACGGTATAAGAGAGAATTCTCTTAAACAGTATCTCACTATAAGAGAATATTCTCTTACATCGTAGACAAAACTAAAGGTCGTGAAACAGGGACTCTCGTGCACTGACTACATTCGAATGCCAAAATAGGTCATGAAGAGAGCGTATCATGCATGTCACTTGCGCAGCTAGCGTTACCACGTCGGGCTACCTCCAAACACTGCTCATTCTCTTGGTTGGCAAGCACGTGGACCCAAGTACTGCTGTACGTGGTACGCTTTTGGTGGATCTGCGTTCGGAAAATAAATCATCGTTGTGTGATGCGATGCACATTTTGCACGTGGACACGTAAAAGGTTTTTGGTTGAGTTGTTTTATAGCTGTGTTTCATAGTCGCACCTCTTCTAGAAGGACAACACGAGGCAACGAATGCACCAGCACTCAAGAACGACGCACCCGTTTACACAATGCACCCCTTCCTCCCACCGTACCCTCAACATAACACCCTCATACCTCTCATCCCATCGATTTAAACCCCCGACAAAAACACAAGTCAACGAAAAAACAATATCAAAACATCACTCGCCGTACAAATAACACAAACCCAAGAAACCAACGCTACCCTGGCGACCTGTCAGCCTGAACACGATCTGCGCTGCAACCGTCAAAGGAAGTCGCTCATGCACGTCTGCTTGGTTTCCCTCGAACCGTAGGCACTCATCCACGCTAGCTTAGCCTTGCGGAGGTGAAAAGACACTTCGGACATGCGGCACTTCTCGGCAGTATCCTCGAGTTCACCAAAATGGGTTGCTACATTCGCGTACGGCGGCGGAGCCGGGGCCGCTGCCGCCGCCGACTGTCCCGATTGGCGTAGCTCAACCAGGTCGTCGTCCTCGTCGTCAGAGGAACGATCCATGTCCACCAAATTCTCATCACAGAGGTCCTCTACCATCTCTGTTACGATCGCTTCGGCTACCTCCACGTTGTCCTCTACAGACAGCCATGTTTCTACCGCCTGAAGTCATGCGCTCACGGGAGGACAGGCAGTTGTGGCAGATGCGATGCATCTCGAAGGTGCCCTGAGGGTCCACCACACCACAGGTGCCATGGAGGTACTGCCCGCAGACTCCTCTACATTGGTGATTTGTGAACGCCGGCGGGCCTGGCGTGTGATCGGGGACAGCCGTGCAGCGACTGCCCGCCGCGCAGGGCATGGTGTCTGCAGCTGTGTGGGTGTGTGATGTGTGTGTGTGTCCACGTGGTTTCCATATTGTTCGATTTAAGAGAAAAATCCCAGCTGCAATAGGAAATTTAATTTTGATTGGTACAAGCCAATTCCTCTCTCTTAAATCCGTACTTTCTCTTGAATAAGTTCTCTTAAACCGTAGCCGCTACTGCACACCGTTTTGAACCAACGAAGATGACGCACTGCTGCTGGGCTTGAGACCTTCCTCAGAGACCACCGAAGTCCCAGTAAATGGTTCATCGTTCACGGATATAGACCACAAAATTCCAGTGATTGGTTGCTGCATGTTCTCTCCTTGTGGAGGGATGCTGCTGTGCACGCACGCACGCACGTGGTTGCCCTGAGATGCGTCTCCGTGTGGGTCAAATGTGTACACAATAGGTTAGAGAGAAAGCGCGCGTGTAGTGGTACATGATATCGCATGCACGTGCATGTTGTTGCTCTTGTTTGTTGTTGTTGTGTTCACATTGAAATGGTGTGCGAAGAATGAGCCTACGTGCTGAATCCAACCATGGAGTATGTATGTCGCTGCACAAATGTGTGTTCTATCCCTCGTGTGAAAAAGGCTGAAAATACAAAATACGAACAGCTGTACAAGAAAAGATTTGCATGAATAATATATAGCTGCTACTGCAGACATCGCCTTGCCTGTGACATAAATACATGCGTATCCGCGTTCTTCATCAGCACAACAATAGTCTTGGCAACACACGGACGCCTCCAGCTTCCGCCTGCAGATACATAGAATATCATTTACTCACCGAGCTTCACCTCAACATTCCATTTCGGTCTACTTCAACCATCATCATCATCAAGACACTTGCTCCCAGATAGAGACTATCATCAATCTCGTCTCCTACCTACACGGGGGTACGTTTGGCGCGTAAGAAATCAAATATGCCATGCACGTACATCGAGTTGATCGTGCGCGTGCGTTGACGTGTGTGTGCGTGTGTGTATGCTCAGCCTGCTCATTGTTGACTCTCTTTGCGTTCAAACTTGAACTGAGGGCTGGAGATACGTCACACGCGCACCGCTATATGCTGCTTGCGGGCTCAGCGTTTGATTACGTTTGGCAAAAAGGAGAAAAGGCCCGCCGAGAACAGGATGGCTGATGACGTTTCTCGACGTTGACGTTCTCCGCCGAAAGCCCTCCAATCGGAGTCCTGATTCTTTAATGAACGAACAGCCCGGCGTAGGCGCTCCGGAACGCAGGGCATAATCGGCCGGTTTCGCCCGATTTGGGCGCTCTTCACGGCGGTGCAGTGCTGGAGGCACGCGAAGGCTCAGCCGCACGACGGGCGGGCTGCAGTGGAAAGACTTAGCTGGGGACGCCCTGAAGAGGAGACGTCCGCCGGAGCTCTGTGGCGGGCCAACGGAAGAATCGGCGCTAACGCCTCGGGCTTAGTCTGGGGCGTAAACTCGCCGCCACGCTCTCAGCGCTCCGGATCTGCGCTCTCAGCGCTCGAGAGCTGAAGCATGATTGTCTACACGTCTACATAAACACAGAGAGACTTTCGGGATGGAATGTTTAATAGATTAACCAGCAGTCGAAGGGATGTGAAGTACAGCAGTAACATACAGATCTGTAGCGCCCGCACTTGAGCACAATTCAGTAGTCTACGCAGCAAAATTGATTAAGCGAACAATGGGATAAAAGTATGCAGTCCTTGCTTGAGGGATAGGGATAGGGCACGCAGGTATGTACTCTAAAAACCTTGCGTAGGCGGTCCGCGCCATTTGTGAGCCCGGTCAAGAACCCCTACATCAGAACCTAAAATACTGCAGCGGCCGTTTTTAGCCCGCAACAAGTACTAAGAATCTCGGGCCAGACTGACGTAGGTAATCAAGTGCGGGCGCTATCTATAGTACGGACCGCAGAGGGACATATTTGCGTCGTGGTATCATAGGCCGTCAGTCAATCAAGTCAGATTTCAACGCAATTTTTGTCGCTCTACAATAGTAGGGATCCAGAATGCCTCCTAGCTCTTTGCAAAAGTTGGACCGACCTGCTGTGGAGGCGACTTGTCTAAACCCGCGATTTGTATCACCGCTGGTGAACGTCGTGGTGCATAGGGATAGGGATCCAAAAAGTCATCGTCGAACGCTGTGATGTGTAGACTACCATGCCTGTGTATGCTATGCCAAAGTAGCTCCCACGGAGGCTAAAGTGTGAAGCTCCTCGTCGAAAGAACCGAAAGAACATTCCGGGCCCAACGCGTTTGGCGACGGCTAACGCTTCAAGGTTGTGATGTTGTCATGATATTACAACTTTCTTCTCAAATCGCATGTACCCAAGATGCTGGAAACATGGTTGACGCCCTCTGCTGATTCATAGCCGCGCTAGGTCGTTGTAAGGTGCACCGGCCGTGGCAAAACCTTGACCAGATGGTGTCTACCAGGGGACATCCGGGATATATCTTTCCCGAAGACATAGAAATCCTTTGATTTTTGAGGCTTGTTGGTCAAGGTTGCGCCTCTGCGTACATACTCATGCGTTGCTCCATACAACAGACGAACACAAAGGGTTGCTTGCTGAATCTAAACGTCCAATGCCCGGGAACAGACAACACAGTCATATGTTGGCCTCCCCTGCAACATCAGGAACATGGTCCGCAGCATGCAGCGTCTTTAAAGCTGTAGACCATTCTAACGTCTCGCTCACCCTTCCCCCGGCCTCTCGCGCCCCGCTCCTGTCGTCCTGACGGCGCCTGCCCAACGCCTCGCACGGACCACCACAACCCGGCGCTCTCGGCAGATTGGCGCTGTCTTTCTTACGAGGGGGCTTGGGGCAGGGCTCGGCAACATCGTTTCGCCCAAGCTGTACAAGTGGGCAAGAGGCAAGATCACCATCTCCGTGATGCTGTTCCTCCTGGCCGCGAACCTCCTCCTGGTTCCCCTCGCGAATACGGTGGGCTCGCTGCACCTTAACTTCCTCTCCCTGGGCTTCCTCACGGCGATCGTCGACGCCGGCTGCCAGTTGATGACGCGCCGCCTCCACGGAAGTGCGGCGGGACCGTGGCTGGGAGCCAACACGGTGTCCTTCGGACTGAGCGGGGCTTTCTCTCCCCTCATTGGTTGGCTGACGGGGTCGCTGGTCGTGGAGTACGCTATCCTTGCTACCGTGGCCTTCTTGATCGGCTGCTTCCTTGTCGTGCTGCCGAGCCCGGACGTGGAGCCGGCGCCCCACGAGGTGAAAGTTTTGGGGAGGGGTTATTTCCAGGCACCACAGCTGGCTTTCGAAACCTCCGCACAACAGTGACACCAACTTGCCGGTGTTGGCGCGGAGACTGAAGAGGGAGCTTGGAAGGGGTATCAGTCGATCCACAAAAGTGGATATTCGATATGTTGCGACTGAACGCTTGAGTGGTATTCGGACGCGCGCGCGCTTTTCCTCGCGGTATGCGTGTGCTCACCCCCCGTGCGTTACACCAGGCCGTACCGACGCGCCCTTGGTCCCCGTGGAGCGATTCATTCTCACTCCCTTGTTTCGTTTTCCCTCGCTCGTTCTTGATTGGTCGCTTGCTCTCTTCCGGCGTGTGTCACCCTCTCCCCCCCCCTTCTCTCTATCCCAGGAGGTAATCCAGGTGACCCCCATCAAGCTCCCGGAAGGGTGGTCAAAGCCTAAAGCGTTCTACGAGGCGAACAAGATAGACTTCCACCTGTGCAGCATTATGTTCTGGTTCATGGGCGGGAGGGTAAGCAAAGCCATGTACCACGTTCCAGAAGCGCAACATTGTCGTCATATCCTGATACCATGCTATGTTGGTTCTGATCTCTACCCAGTGCCTTCTCTTCCCTGACCGAAAGCGCAAAGACATTTCCTCCGCGGCCACAAGCTCCCGATACATACAAAATGAAGAGAGTCGAAGAAATGGGCTACAACGCACGTGGAGCGTGAAGCCATGTATAGTGTACGCAGTCGCGTGGCTGACCCCTATGGAGTAGGCTCTGACCAAGCGCGGACCCACACACGCTTTCGCAGATGGCGGCGACAGCTTTCCTGCGTCAGTTCGCGGACAACGCCTCCGGCGCTTCCCGACGGACGCTGCTGATCGTGTGCCTCTGGCTGGCCATCACCCTCGGCCGCGTCTTGGGCCTGAGGGACCAGCTGACGCTCACGCTGGCGCGGCTGTACCGGCACGCCGCCGTGCTCTGCATCGGCGGCGCGGGGGCCATGTTCGTGCTGCTCGTGTCCAGCCGCAGCACGGCCATGCTCTGGGTGACGGTGCTGGCCTTCGGGCTGTTCAACGGCCCCGTGCTCGGGTACGGGTACGACCTGAGTACCCGCGTCTCCCCCAACCCGGCCACCAGCTCGACCATCGCCGAGTTCGGCATTACGGCGGGTGCAAGGTGAGGTGACAAGCCGAAAAGGTTTGGTCGAAAAGGTGAAACCGACCCCAAAAAGGATAAGCCGAAAATATAGAAACCGAAACCGAAAAGGTCAAAGCCGAAAAGGTAAACCCGAGAACGAAAAGTTCCAGCCGAAGAGGTTGAACCGAGATGATAAAACTGAAACTGAAAATGTTAAGCTGAACAGGTTAAGCGGAAAGGATGAAACCGAACACGTCAAACCGAAAAGGACGAAAAAGGAGCCCAAGAGGAAAAACCGAAAGGATAGCCGAAAAGGTTAAGCCGAAAACGTGAAACCGAAAAGGCTGAGCCGACAAGGACCGAAATGGTTGAGCCGAAAAGGTTGAACCGACAAGGACAAGCCGAAAATGTCAAGCCGAAAACGTGAAACCGAACAGGATAAGCAGAAAAGGTTAAACCGAAAAAACGGAAACGTGAAGCCGAAAAGGTGAAACCGAAGACACGTTGTTAGTGACTGGTGCTGCTGCCTGTATGGAGAGGATTGCGGCATGGGTTTCTTCAGGTTATTCACCCGAAAAGGACCAACAAGGATAAGCCGAAAAGGATACCGGCAAGGTAATCCGAAAACATGAAATCGAAAATGTTAAGCCGACAAGGACCGAAAAAGTTAAGACGAAAAGACTCAACCGAAACCGGAAAGTTTGAGCCGGAAAGGTTAAACCGAAAAGTATAAGCCGATTAAGTTCAACCGAAAAACCCGAAAACAAACGTAAAGTCTAAAAGTTAAAGCCGATGAGGACCGAAAAGGTTAAGCCGAAAAGATCAAACCACACCCGAAAGTTTGAGCCGAAAAGGTTATAACCGAAAAGGATAGGACGAAAACGTGAAACCGAAAACGTGAAACCGAAAAGTATAAGCCGAAAAGTTTCAACCGAAAAAAACGAAACCGTGAAGTCGCAAAGGTTAAGCCGAAAACCTAAAGCTGAAAAGGTTAAGCCGAAAGATTAAATCGAAAACTTTCAACTGAAAGCCGAAAAGTTAAACCGAAAATCTGAAACTGAAAAGGTTAAGCCGAAAAGATTAAACCAAAACCGGAAAGGTTTACGAAAAGGTCAAACCGCAAAGGATAAGTGGTATTATTAACGCGCCGCAAAAAATGATTTTTGTTTTCACCGATTCGTAACTTTTATCATAGAACCGGTTCTGGGGTTTCCATTGGTTCTTATCGGCAGAGGGCGCGTCTTTTTTCAAAAATCCTGGAAAGCGTCGATGCCGACGTACAGACACCGGTCACGACCAGGCGAGAGACCCGAGGCATACCACAGCAGACGCGATGAACCCACACCATGAACAGCAACGCCGTAGCAGCGGAAGGCCGGCCATCTAGAACGAAATCGGTGCCTCTGAGGCTGCAGGATGCAGGTGAAAGTGGTGCTGCTGCTGGGCATGGGGTCGCGCAGCCCGCACCTGCTGGCGCGGTACAGCGGGCACCGAGCGGCATGGCCCGCAAGGCCGTTCACAGCAGGTTTGCCCCCCTTACTGATATACCACAGGGGGTGCCACGTGGGGCGGGGCTGATGTCGGGCTTCTCGGACGACGCTGCTCGGCAAGCTCGTCAGGCGGCCGTAAGAAAGGTTATCGACGACCCTCGGTTTGGGTTAGCCCGGCAAAAAACTTGGAGGAGCTCGGAGAGCGGTGACGATGACGAGGGGGGGGCAGCCCGAAGTGCGAGCAGCAGTGTGTCGGTAGAGGACAGCAGTGCAGCTCCGTTAGACATTGGCTCATAGTCCGGAGATGTCGTGTTAGAAAAGGAAATACGGGAAAGCAGTAGCCGGGGGCAAGCGCGCACGAGGACCTACAACCAAGGCAAGCGGAAGGCGAGCGCCGGCGGTAGCGGCGTAGGGAAGAAGACCAAAGCAGCAGAAGGCCATCGCGCGAGTGCCACAAAAGCCTGGGGCAAGGACCACCCGCAGTGGGCCACACATTTTCTGAAGAGGACTTGCGCGCACCGCAAGATCCTGAGGATGTCACAGAGCAGCAAGGATGTCCTGGTGGCGGCCCTGCGATCTCTCGACGGCAACATGAGACAGTCATCCCCGTACTCCGACGACCTCGATGCTATCGCAGCCGGTGAGATGCTGGTATTGTGTAGATTCGTCATCGATTAGTGTCACAGCAGACGACACAGAGTATCGACAAAATATAGGTAGTTACTCTGCAATTGAACGCAGTGTGCGCAGAGGAAACAAAACAAATTACTGCTGTGTGTGTAGTGCCCGTTTCAAATCAACCTATTTGTACAGTGGCAGGTACGGCATGCTCGAGAGCTGTTTTATTTGCCCCAGTAGGTGGGATGCTGCTGAAGGCAAGCACAGCGTACCACAAGGCATGCTTTCTTGACGATATTCAATCGGTGGTGCACCGACCAACCCTTAAGGTTAGGGTGTTCTGTCCTCTCACGCCCAGAGGAAGGTCTATAGTATGGTGAACGATGTTTTGCTACGGTTGGGGGTGTACACCTGAGGCTTCCGCTCATGCGAAGGCTTATTCATTGTTTGGGCCGCTTTCTCATATCCCCCATGTTGGCGCAGGCAAATCTGTACGCGGCAGCGAGGAGGAGGAGGAGGAGGAGGAGGAGGAAGAGGAGGAGGAGGGAGCCATCCCTGCGAAAGCACTGCTTACGTTTCGAGGCGTGCTAACATGGTCGCCCTGGCATGTGACAGTACTAAGCCATTGACAGTCGAGGGTGTGGACTACAGTGTGGCGGACCTTTACAACGCCATGGAGAAGGAAGACCAAACGGAACTGGCGGATTCTGCCGGCGGGAGTGCTCCCACTGGTAGTTCGTCGACGGGTGGTGCAGTCGGACCGGACGGGGGTGGTTCCGCCGGAGGGAGTGGCAGCAACACGGAGCGTAAAGGCCCACACTGCATGATGCGGCTCGTTGGGATCCTGTGCGAAGACTCCATCCGCCCGCTCGTCATGAACAGTCGCTTGCAGGCGACCCGGCAGGAGCTGGACACCTCAGCAGGTGGGCCGCGGAACAATTTGTGGACAGAGGTCACCGACCGCTTCCGAGACCCTGGCTACCATGTGCGTGCTGGGGGTACGGGGTTGATTAGCACGCATCGGACGAGAACGTTTACAAAGACAGCAGTCGAAGTGTAGGTTGACAACTCATGCCGTTTATTGATACTTGTGTTAGCCATGGTACTCAACGCCTCATAACGTCCACGGGCGATCGCCATCGTTTCAGGCAAAAGGCTATTGGGTATCCAACCCCAAGAGCGGGTCAACCTGCTGTTGACGTCTACCGGTAACTTGTGTAGTTGTTGCTGACGCCGACGACCACACTGCTGTAGTTGCTTCGTTAGCCTATTATAGTGAAAGACATTGAAAACGCGCTGGAATCATTCAAAGGAATGCGTAGATAGCCAGACAATATTTTATGCCAGAAAGAACATAACAGGTCGGGACCAGGCCGATATCGGCCCTTCCCGCGCGAGGGGTGCATTCCCCGTTCGTCTTTTTTTTTCGTGTCGCAATCGTGTTAATTTCCTCGCACGTCCGGGGGGGCGTCGTCGTTGTAGGTAGGTTTAAAGAACCCGTGTATGATCTGCGTTGCCCCTTCCCTCGCTCCCTCGCTGTATGCCGGACCTATGGGTGATGTGGACGTTTTTTAGGTGAGAAAAGTCGTGGACGACGAACAAGTGAGTCACGTCAACCCGAACATCATCCAGCAACCAAACATCTCGGCGGAAAAGATTACCAAGATGTGGTCTGCGGCAAAGGCGAAATGGAACACGCCTTTTGCTAACTGGAAGAGTGAATCCGGTAACAACCAGCCATGGCTTTCATTTTGTCAAGGTAAGAGATGGATGACGTGGGGCTGGGTATAAAATAGCGTCTGTTTGCTCCAGGAACCTTGGGCGATTTTGTGGCCGTGGCATAAATGCCGCCCATGCTAGTTCAGCGTGTAAGTGCTGCTGCGGTCGGAGTTTTGACATTGCAGTTGGAGTTGAAAACAGTGTTGTAAAACGTACTGCCGGGATGACGTCCACATTGAGGCCTGATTGAAAAGGATTGTCTGCACCATGAACTTCAACGTGTATTTTGAAGCAAGACCAAACACCATACCAATTGCTCCAAACAGACCACTCCCCGCCCGCCCGTTGCACATTGTTTTTTTACGGGGGACACGGACACGTACATTCTCGTTTGCGCAATCCAGAAATACCCCGAGCTTGACCAAGTGTGCAACAATCTCCTCCCGGAGGACGCTCAGCGAGAGGACGCGGGACCGGAGAGGGCGATGGCTGTACAGGCGGGGGGCGAAGCAGCAAAAGAAGGGGGGGGGGCAGAGCGTGGCAGAGGCTACGTCCGTTGCCATGAAAACCGCACTCTTAGATATTGAGTCGCTCCTGCCACGTGGCGGATCGGAGAAATCTGAGTGGCAACTGAAACAGGACGAAGAGGGAAGCAAGTCTCCTGCCCGAGATATCAAGGCTGCTGCATACGCTCTGAAGAAAGTAATGTGCGCGGACCACCAGAAATATTCGGAGCAGATAGTGGAAGAGGAGGGGAAAAAGCGGCCGGGTTGCCAGACGAGAGTAAAATTCATGGAACAAATGGTAGCAAAGCTCGAGAGGGAGATGTTTGGCGGCCAATAACACCCACATGCGCTGCTGCACTTGCGTCCGTGCAATCGTCGAAGCGGAAGCGTGTGGGTGTGTGAGTCACCTTCGTTTTTCGTAGCATTAAGCACCGAAGATACGTGCGCCTCCGCAAAGACGTGTGGCTTTGGTTGGCAACAACAATTGAGAGGATGCCTTGCGGCAACAATGGAGTATCAAGGATAACATGTGATTGAAGAACGCCGAGACCGTTGTGGTTCAAGGGCAAAAGCTGCTGTGCCGCCAGTAAACGAATACGAGGTTGTGTTTTTTTTTTCCCACTCTCACGGCAAGGCTTGCTTGTTGCGAGGGCCGTGGCAATTCTTTTTTCTTGCGGTTTCGAGGGGGGGGGGGGGGGGG